TGCTAATGCTGCTAATGCTTCCCTATAAGACTAGGGCTTTACACTCAGCAAGTGAGCTAAATGATGAAAATGTGTGACATTTTTTAACATTTTATTTGACACGTTTTGTTCGTCCCATCAGGTGGAGTATTTATTGCGGAAGCTGTCGGAGGCCATGGGGATCGGATGGAGCGAGGAGAAGTTTTCAGATTACAAACTGCAGCAGAACAAAAAGCGCAGCCTGACTGTCTGGGGCCTGATCGAACTGGTGGGACTMATCTACTTCAGCAAGGGCGTGGACCACCAGACCCTGTCCATGGGCATCAGCGAGGTGTTTTCAGAGCTCATCCTGGATATCCTCAAGCAGGTTAGTTGGGATGTGGATCTGGCTTCTTTGTTCACCTGAGGTTGTSTAAATTGTGAACTTTTGTGTATTCTACCTCCGACCTTGTGTTTTAAAGGGTTACATGATGAAAAAAGGCCACAAGAGGAAGAACTGGACTGAGCGCTGGTTTGTCCTTCGACCCACCTCGCTGACGTACTACATCTGTGAAGACCTGACGGAGAAGAAGGGAGACATCATTCTGGACCAGCGCTGCTGTGTGGAGGTAACCACAGCAGCATTTTGGGTCAGGATGTTTTATTGTGGTCAGAGTTTTCATTTTTAGGTCACGTTTGGTTGTGCACACCAAACAGACAACTTCATTTCCTTCAGGATTCTACAGATCAGGAACTGTTTGATCCTTTTTTTTTAACTGATGTGATATAGAGGACATGTGTCAAACTCAAGGACTGTGGGCCAAATGTGGCCTGGCACAACATTTTATTTGGCCCACAAGAGCTTCACAAATGCGTTAACATTATGCTGCTTTAAAGACAGCATTGACCATAAAATAAARCTCCCATAATGCATGTCTATCATTTAATACGCAAAATTATGGCGTCTAACCACTAGGTGGAGCTGCGCAGGATACAAAAGTAGCTGGTAGCTGGTGAAATTCGTCATGTAAAATCCTAATTTCTCTGCATTTTCGCTGGCTACTTTTGCTGTGCCCCAGCTGTACTGGGAATTGGGAATTTCCCACTTGCATGTCATAAATTTAAACTGGAATGCCCCTCCGGTGGGAATTTCCTGACATAAAGTGGGAGAGTTCAGAATTCAAGATGGTGGCTATTCACTACAACTGAACAGTGAGTCAAACTCACTTACTTTAACTTTTAATAGGACTTCTGCATTATTTATTTCACGTTTAGTGAGTCGTACATGTAGTACTTTTCAGCGTTTATCAAAGGACGTGTTTAAAATGCTGTTTCTGTGCAAGAAAAACCACATAGAGCTACATTATTGTTAGTTAGTGATGATGTTTTGTGTTTAGTTGAACACGATGCATCAAAGTTAATCTGCCTCTTGCCATCTCTTCCAGTCTTTGGTGGATAAAGACGGGAAGAAGTGCCTGTTCGTCATCAAATGTGCCGATAAAACCTTTGAGATCAGCGCCTCGGATAAGAAGAAGAAGCAGGAATGGATTCAAGGTYGTAAAAGAGCTCCGGGCTCTGTAACATCCTGTCTCTGCTGAACCCCGGCTCACAGGTCCGTCTCTCTGTCTCGTGGCAGCCATACAAACCTGCATCCAGCTGCTGAGGCTGGGGATGGCGTCTCCTCACCGCGAGGCGAGGCTGAGGCGCCGGGAGCTCCGGCAGAGGCAGCAGGTGGAGGAGGAGGACCTGGCAGAGAGGATGAGGAGGCTTCAGGCAGCTAATGAGAACAAGCAGAGAGAGCTGGAGGACATGAGGCTGGTCCGTGCGCTGAACTCTTCTATTTCTCTAAGTCTCGGTCCTGGCTGACCTTTCAGAGAGAAACAGGAGTTCAGTTGAACTCAGCTGCYGGGTGGGGGTGTTGTCCATATCTGCTTTTTCTCACATAATGCGGTTTGTTTCTGCAAACGCAGAGTGAAAAGGGAAGCAAAACTGTTCATGCAAACACTGTTAGAAATCAGGCAGCAACAGCTGCATGAGATTATTGTTCACTTTTCACTTCCCCTTTTTTCATCTGACAACTGCTTTTTTTAACACATGCTATTACTAAGTATGTGGGGGTCTAATTTTATGCATTTGCACACTCAGACCTTTTTAATGCTAAATATGTTTTAGCAAGACAAACACAGAAGCACAGGCTAAGTGACTCAAATTCATGTGTTTTTTTTTAATTTAAATGTTTTTTTTGTTGTGGCGCTTCCATTCAGGCTGACCAGTAAGAGCCCACCCTGTTTTGTGCTCCACAGAAAATGGAAGAGGCTGCAGCCAAAGCAACGCTGGCGGAGCTCCGGAGGAAGAAGACTCAGTCGGACCTGCAGGATCGCTACAGGCTGGACTTGGCGAAAGAAAAAACGGTGACGTCTTTTTCTGCTCTGACACTGACCCGTTCAAAACATGTGCWCTTTTTGTGGAAGCAGAATCTAAATAGAAGTTAACCCCGCGATGACGCGACTCGTCTTATGAGCGACGAGTCGTGATCGTTCTCTTTTTGCTGACTTTTGTGGCATGAAAAAAAAAATCAACGTTTCATCAGGTGAAATTGCTTTATTCCACCAACACAAACTTAAAAAAACGCTAGAGAATTATCACTTTCTGCAAAAAATGCAGTGAATGCTTAATACTGAAATCTTTTTGTACAAAAATGCTGCAAAAAAAAAAA